TATTTCGGCTTTCTTTCACATCTGTTCACTCATTCATTCATTCGTTCGTTCATTCATTGAATTCATCTATCCAGGCGAGAATTTTGTGCTTGCATGGGATACACACAGGACGAGCAGAGAGAGAGACAAAAGATAGGGTACCGCCCGTTTTGATCTGCAAATTCGAAACGAGAGAGTTGGCAGTAAATGTAACAATATTCGATTCAGACAAACTAGAAGGAGTGTCACTGAAACGCACCCAAAAACAATTTTAAATGAGCGAAATAATGAAACTTGTTTCTCACACAAAATCAGGCAGAAAGATGAGAGAGAGAGAGATGAGCGAGTGTATTCCGCTAAAATACAACAAACTGTAAGCCGCTTTGGAGGAGAGCCTAACATTTACTTTATCTTTATAATTCAGTTCAACTATTCCATAACACATGTAACTTACTGGTTGATGTCACATGAAGAAATCAGTCAGCAAAATAGTTCCACACTATGGCAATCTTTCACATAACTGTGTGGATTGTCAGATAGACTGTATTCATGAGACTATGATACAGTTGCTCACTTGTGTAAGTTGATTTCTGTGTGGTTGTATAAGAAATCAATAATTTCTTGGCTTTTGAATGTAGTCTGGATTACGGTTACCTACTATGTTTATTGTCTCCTATTTAATAGGACTGATGCAGGGTAAAATATCCAGAAAATTTTTTTCGCGCCGGGAGTTGTTCAATGTGTCACCGTGAGCATCAACTAGAAGGAGGGAATACATGGGGAAACATCACACTTGTTTGGTTGCATAGCCTGCATAACTATCATCGCAAGGCTTTCTGAATAATCCCTGCTCCATTCTCACTTGGACCTTATTGTCGTTATGGTTCAACCCTCCCCCACCGATCTTATCATTATTGTTAGCGGTCAGTCATTCTCAATTAAAGAGACAGACCGGAGCTGCTCCGGTTCTGTCTTACACCAGCCGAATGTAACTAACCATCGATCAAGCTAACTACTTATCTGTTATATGAATGCAAATCAGTAACACAGTTTTACCAAAACTACACTGAAACTATGTTGCGCCCATTTACAACATGTTTTGACTGTTACGTTCTTCTACTGCTGTGTGCAGTGGCATTCAAAAGTGCTGATATATCAGTCCCCGTGGATAACACGGTTTCGAGCATAACTTTCGGCTATCCACTGAATTCGAAATAGTTGTTGATTGTTAGGTCAATCGGGAACGGATAGAGGTTCCTGAAGAATTGTTTAATGATTGAAAACTGATTTAGATTTGGAAAATTACACAACTTTAATTTCTCAACAATAGTTTTTTGATGAACATAGACACTGAGAGCTGTTTGCCGTTTTTTACGACCGAGGAACCAAGCAAGTGAGATAGAGTGTTGCTACTTCGAAGCCTCAATTCGCCAAAGAATAACCTCTTAAAAACTCAGCTTAAAACTGGTTTCTAAATCGTATATTAATCTTAGCAATTTGGCACTACTTGGACTCTTATTCGATGGCTGCATTATGCTTGTTAAGTAGGTTATGTTTCTCGTTCAAGTAATACGCCCTAGTCTCTCGATTCGAAAATGCTTATTGCTGGTTCCATTGGTTACAGGGTTCCTGCTGCGCGGTGTACCATTCCTTTTTAAAAACAAATACAGACAAAATTAATATCCATGATTCCACGCACATCAGTTGATCGAATTTACGTTTATTTTTTCCCAATAATATCAATGTTGAGAAAAGTATCTCTATTGTTTCAATCCAAAATTAAATAAGGACCCAATTTAGATAATAAACGTTAGAACAAAGTTAAACATTTGTTTGAATCGTTTCCATGATGCTGTACAAATCGTAATCTGATTCGAAGAAATTGCCCCTTTCTGGAATCATGGCATGTGTTCACTATCTCCTCCTCACCAATCGGAAACCAATGAAAGTTGAAACTGAGTTCACAGTTGCAGCTTTGGATTTGTGTCAAATCTTGCCATAATGAGGCTTCTTATTAGGACAATTATCTCTATTCCCACCAAATCCCTAGATGATTTGTACGGTTCGGATTGCGAATCAGTGTGAACTCTTGTTCGCCTTCGAACGTCAGTTCTCATGTTTCAACGGGTTTATTCAGGGTCGAGATTAATAGTCCCGGTTGGGTAAAAAGATATATTTAGGTTTCCCCGAGCAAAGTGCTGCTTCCAATTATTCCAATCACACATTTCAGTATGGTAATAGGTTTGTGAATGCTATTCGTAACTATATATATCCAGACATAATGAGCTTCCGTATAACAACACTGTTGATGAAAACTTGGTTGCGGTCGAGTGGTTTCAGCTGTTGTCAGCATCACGGCAGCCACGTGTTCAACACCTGCAGCCAGTGCCCAACATCCCCACTTCTGTATAACCTACGATGTCCCTGTGATTGATCTCTCCGGACTTCTTAAAAATAACTTGCACGATTATCTAGTCAATGAAACGAAGTTAACCAATATTACAAGTAATATTAACATCAGTTCCAAAGATAAAGCTCGGTGTTTACTCCCTGATAACCGACTGGAGCTGTTTTTTCTCTGCATCGACCAGTCAATAATTCTTCGTGGTTCACAAACAAACCGGAAGATCGTTCTTTGTCATAACTAGAAGGAACTGCCCTTCGAAACGGTCTGATGAATTGGATCGTGAGTGTTTGAGTCAACAAGTCTTCTTTGTTGGCTGTCATACAGTCTGCACACACTGCGCATGGTATCTGTTCGTTGAACTTCACCGTGTATTTCTCCTCGCTCGATTGTTCTCAATGACAATCTCATTAAATTCCTTCACGCATGGATCCGAACGTTTGATTTGATAAATACGCAGTTTGAGTCGCTTTTGCACAAGGCGGTGGAGTGAGGGTGGTCCGGGGGGGGGGGGNAGGGCAATAGAGCAGACGGAGAAATTGGATGGAATGAAGTGCATGGCAGAATTGATTAGTGAGTTACGAATTCATTCATAATCACATCCAGTCTGTCTGTTGAAATCGTCGGTCTTTTTCTCCAACCTGATTAGTTTTAATCACGCAGCCGCACACACACACACAATCAGAAACCTCGCCAGTGCAAACCTTGACATGCTTGCGCGCTTTTTTAATGCTGTGACACACACTCAGCGAGTGTGAACCGACAATGAACGTGTGATGAATCTTCAACTGAAATTTTTACTGAGCAGATGAAATGGGACAAGTTTAGTGTATCTATCACACGACAACCTCGATGATGATGATGATATTCACGATCAATTTAACATCGTCATCTATCAACTCGTCCCAAATGACCTGCCATGATCTGCGTGCGGTGTGAATGATTATTTATCCGGCTAACTATTTTCTCAACCCGGGTTTTAAGATCGACGAAGGAAGGGGGCAACTCATGTGAATGAAGAGCAAGAAATAAGGTGCATTTGATCGTTTTTTGTCCTCTCTTCGCCCCTTGGCTCCTAACCTCACCCTTCCTTCCCACCCCTCATAATCACAACTAGCTTTTCTCATTCTGCTTCGCGGTCTGATCACCTTACGTGAAATGACAATAAATGCGATTGATACCGAGTGATATCAGGCGAACTTGTTCCGCGATCGCATTAGCCTAGTTTAAACTGTCAATGGATTTTCCATTTCAACTGTGATCTATTGTTCTCTATTTGGTGAACAGGTTGAAGAAAACATGCAATGAATAGTGTCCCCTTCACTCCACCGGTTTTCCCGAGAAGCAGAATGAAGGTTAGGCGCCCATCTGCTCACCTATTTGAGCATCAGAGATTAAGCTGTCCACTCGAACATCTTGCCTCTCCCCGCCCCCCACTAAAGTTAGGTTATTTATCACCATTGGATTCACGCTGAACAAAGGTAGAGTGATACGCATTTCAATGGGATTGTCAGGTGATCAACACCAGTTGACCCATTGCGGTTACAACTGGCAGAATACAACCATGCCTGGGTGTGTTTCTGTACATGTGCGGGTATGCAACCGTGAGGGTGGGATAGGATCAGTCGGCGAGTAGGTTATACTTCACGCTGCCTTCCCGGGGGTGGGGTGGGGGGCTGGGTGGGTAGATGCAGTGCATTTGAGAAGAGATATCGTTTTCTGGTGCACAACCCATGTGAGTGCACAAATCTTTTGACAGTTTAAAATTTACTCCGAGAGGGAGATAACAAATAATAAAGTTATCTGCCAATTTAATAAACCTATCGTTCAAAAACTAGCTGCGAAACTCAACAATGAATCCAGAGGGTTCTTGCCGTGAAAATTAAACTTCGTTTCACCAGACACCGCTAACAGTGAATTTCAAGGTCTATAGTTATTTTAGGTATATAAACTATCTTTTATCATTCTGAACTGATTTATGAGCCACCGGTAATTTTTAGTAAACCCCTCTCACTCCCTAAATGTCATCTTTCTGACCTTGACTCTAAATCAAGGTTACAATTCTCAGTTGCCTTGTTTTACTTTTGGTAAGCAGGATTCATGCATTCAGTTTGAAGTTGATTGATAAGTTGGGTGATGTGCATAACCTTTCAATAACTTAGCAGGAATCAATTGGTTCAAACGAACAAAATTTGATAGGAATTTTTCGGTGAAAATTGTTTATTGGAAGTAAGTTAGTGATTATCCTATAACAATCAACTGGCACTGTTTTGAATGTAAATGACACTGTTTTCGTGATTCTGAAAGTACGCTCGTAGCACGGGGATTCAATTGGCATAGCTGACAGACTTGTTTAGAAATTTTACACTGAATAAATTTATTGATTCATTTATGGATTCCACAGTTAAAAAGCGTTGGCAGAAAATCGCGAGGATTAGTATTAATTATATAATACTATATTATAATAATTAATTAATATTAATATTCGCGTGATTTCCTTGGTTTGGACTGTATTGGGGATGAGAGGTAAATCGGCTTACCCGGTACAACCACCACAAGAGTCACACGCGTTCTACTATTGACGATAGTGTACAAAACTGTACAATACGCTTTATCGATGCCCACTGAGCCAAGCATGCTTACGTTATGTCGACAGGCAGTGAATTTTTCTGGGAAACTGAACACTGGTGTGTATCATGTCATGGTAAGTACCCAGCCTAAATGTGTATCAGCACCGCCCTGGGAATAAGCTGAACTTTTGGTTTGCATGAATAATACTGAAGACGCTGCGTTACGTCACGTCGAGCCAAGAAAGGACTTGATGCAACCATTATGGATAGAATTACTGGCGTAAAACGTCGTCTACGTGTGTCTTGGCGTACGCGGGAATGAATGGGACTTAGTGATATGACGTTCGGTAGAATGGCAATGATGAACGAGAGACAGAGAGAAACATAGTAAAATTAGAAACTGCATTATGAATTTCATGAGGTTGTTTGTCAGTTAATTTGATAGTCATTCTCTGGAAACCAACCCCCGATATAGAGACCGTAGAATAGAACTGTGAAAAGCTGTGATGCATTTGTGGGAATGCTGAACTTTATTGCGGGTGACGGTAGCGCAGATGGAATGAGAGAGGGTCAATGCAGAGGATGTGGTTCATCAGACAGAATTGAGTCACACAAATGGTAGCATACTTTGAGGTGTTGCTGAACAACGGATTAGGCCAGGGAACAGCAAGCCCAATGACATAAAACGCACGAGCAAATAAATTTAAAAATTACATACAACGGCATCCTCAAATTTTGAAGGTGTGAGACGTACAGTATCAGCTTTCTGACTTCAAAAAATGTTTGTTGCACATGGTAGAATAATTTTAAGTCGACAGACAGTAAACAGGTACTGTACAAGTAGAAAGCTGGGGCTCACGTGAAAATAAAATCGGTTGATAACCATTGAATTTCCCGATTCGATCAAATGTTAGTCATTGGAATTGACGTTCATCCTTGATTCCCTAAGAGGCAAAACAGAATAAGGTCCTACAGGAGGTAATAACGGTCGGCAAATGCGTTTGAGCGACTGCAGAACTACCGTTAATCAGTGCTATTTTGGATTTTTAGCTTCAAGCAAATTCCACCAGTCCACTTATCCCACGTATTACCTGTAGGCACCTACAGAAAACGCTTAACACTCGGTCATAAGCCAAAAAATGCTGTAACCGAACGGTGTCGGCAAGCTTGACCAAGCACATCATCATATTGGCTTGCTTGTCCACACAACTAGTGTGACAGCACCTTATTGATTAGTTGATTGATAGAACAAACAGGACGAAATGTGAATAGTGCGAAAGAGTGAGCGATGATAATGATTTGTGTACACACACACACACACACACACACGCACACACTTTGAGTTAATTCAATCAGTAGGGTTTGCTGATCGCGCGCGCGCGTTAAAGGAACTGATCTAACGAGGTAATTACGCATGCCAATGACACAACAATTACACACACACACACACGAACACCTAAAACCATATTGTTCATCGGGTGAAAGACCGTTTGCTTCTACTTATCCGGCCGTGTGTGTGTACGTATGCGTCGGAGTCCTGTGTTGTGGTTTTGTACAATGCAATTCAACCCACATAAAGGATTGCTTAATCATTAACATGTATACGGTGCAAGGGTGTGTGTGGGTGTGTGTGTGTGTGTGTGGAGGGGGAGCGCATGCTTTTGTGGTTTTCCGTACGCACTCATACCGTATGCAAGGCGAACACATTCTGACTAATGCAGTACAATCGCCGAACGCGGAAAAGATTGCAATGTTTTCACGCACACCAATTGTTTCTGATGGTTGGCTAGTAGTAGTGGTGCTGGTGCTGGTCATTTGCTGCATATAATGTGCTTCTCGGCCTCTATTCAACTCGTACTACCACAAACATGCACATATTAAGGTACACCACAATCGCACACCTATGACCCCGACTCACCTCGTTGATGCGGTCCAGGAGAAGAAGCCAAATTACCAGAAAGTACTCATTCCTCTTTTATTCGAGCACATAACTATGTGCATAATCATGATTCCGCAACCTGTTCTCGCTTTTTGTCACACTGAGAAAACCGATGGGGCAAGGTTAGCGAACCAGAAAAGTGCCATAGCATGTGCATAATAGAACAACGCGTTTCACGGTCCACGTGCTACAGTGGAATAGAAACGGAAGGTACAAGCAGGCAGTCACTGAATACCTCTTGCTTACACTGCAATCGACGAAAAGATGAAGGAAAAGCATAGAAAAGACAGATGGAATTCCTGACTGATTGACTGACTGACTGACTGACTGACTGACTGACTGACTGACTGACTGACTGACTGACTGACTGACTGACTGACTTGTTAGCCAACGCGATGTGGCAAATATTCGATTTATCAACTCTCAGGCAATTAATTAGATTTGCCATGCACGGTGGGCATTATCTATCATCACGGAAATTGTTTTGAAAGACTCTGTTAAAGGAATGATTCCCCCTTCAGCATAGAAAATTATCTCATCCAACTTAGCAATCAACCGTTTGTATGGTGGCTTATAGTTTTAAAAGGTTGCTGCAATGCTGATATTTGAATCGCATGGAGAAAATTCAAGAATTGACTGTCTCAAATGACAATTACGATCATTCAATGGTCATATTTCATAGATCAGGTCTTTCTAATTTCAACGAAATTAATGTTAAGGACGGTTTACCATGCTTTCAGAACAAGCAGTATGTGAAGGACAGAAAAAAGTTATATTTAGCAACATAAATGTTACTTGCAATCGGTTCTAAAGGAGTCAGAACTTCTGGTGGTTTTCACACCTCATTTTATTGAAAATACTTATTGGGATCATTAAAATACCCGGTGCAACATTTACATAAATGATGTCATCCTGGTCCCGCTTATTGTTATGTATTCATATTCTTCAGCGCACTACTATTTATGGTCGTATTTGGTTGAACTCATAAATTCAGATATGTGAACACGATGTAAAGTCATCAACCACAACAATTTTTTAGAAAATAATTAATTGGTCAGCTAGGAATGTTCAAAGCTTTCAAAGCAAACTCTCGGAAAATGTAAACAATTTCACGATAACGGACGATGACATCCCGAGATTCCAATCACCCGCTAGTTCACACCATCCTTGTTGGCAATTCTATTGTTATCGGGACTGGTGTTTCACATTGACATTTCTATTCTTGTTGTTACACTGGTTGCAATGATGGTGGTGGTGCGGCTGCGAGGGCAATTCGCGTTTACAGTTCTTTTCGTGTTTGCATCTGTGTGTGCGCGTGGCACTTAGCGCACCATGTCAAAGACATTAAATACTCAATGGTAGGTCATTTGGAGAAGTAGGTGTTTCAAATTGCAGTTTAAGTATTCTGTGAATCATGAATTTTACCGAACTAATCATGGAACAGCCGGCCGCATCCGAGTAACTGTGTGCATGCCCTCTATGCACTGTACATCTCTCCTTCTATCTCTCTCCTCAGTGTGTGCGCGTATCTGTGTGTTCGTAGTTGTCTGACGTACTCCATTTTACTGTGACCACATTGTTTCTTTATCCTACCACTGTGTGCTTGTTGTTTGAAAGGATAGCGCCGTCCGCCGTCAACGCCACCAAAATTTGCGTGCAGTAAATGTGAGTGTAAACCTCAAATATGGTTTGATTGCATTTGTGCACGACATTTATCGAGTCTGCGTGTTCCTTTTGCTGTTCATTTTTGCACAACTGACCACCCAACCCGGGGCCCGGTCGTCTCACTGCTTCAGGGTTTCGCTCGTCCACTCGCACATTGTCGTTCACTCCATTCAGTTGTCCCCTCCCCTCCCCCGGTGGACACCGACTGTCCTGGAATTGGAAAGAAAAATTGCAGAACAGCCATTGAACAGAGTGTCTGTAATTGACAGCATAAATTTCATCCTAGATGCATATAATTGGTCCAATTAGATTCTCAGTATAGTCATGACACAACGAGGGCAACTGTTACACACACGCACACATATCGTCCAATTCATGGGTAAGCGGAACTAATTAACTTGATTCTTTCTAGCTGTCTTTCACTCACCCACCGATCCACTTACCCACTTCACATATACGCATACCGCGGCCTCCATTCGAGCAAGGTCGTTCTTTCCGAATGCGTGATGTTCAATGCACTCAGATACTCGCCAATCCTCTGAATACTATATTAGATAAATTGAGACTGCACGTGTCTGTATGCCACATCTGCCCACCACCATCAAGTTTCTCGGACGTATCGAAGGCTTGGTCAAGTCAACAAAAATGGTCTGTTGGCCGAACTAAGTATTGGTTTCTGCCAGGAAGTGGTTATACGGCTTCTGGTAAACAGATTTGTTTTCGTCTATCGTCTATCTATTATGTCGCTCGATGATACTGAAGCGTCCAGTCAATCAGAATGATCCAATCGCTATCAATTGGTCAAATCAGGGTTTGCTTAGTTGCACTCAACCGAGAATATCAAGCGACTGCCACATAAATATGGAGCCTACAACTAGTAAATTGTTATAAAAATAACTCTATTGTTGGAAAGTGTTAAATTTACTGTGCAATCAATTCTTGGTGTCTAAACCAGATGTTGCAAATAAATCTGACAAAGTAGGACACCACCGATGAATTCGATGTCATAGTTCTTTCATGAATTTGATCAAAGTGACTATGGGCAGTTGTAGACGGTCATACAACTTGAATTAAGTCATTCTGAAGAGGATGTCTGGTATCCGATGAAATTTGGCTGAAAATCTTAAGCAAGCAACTACGCGGACAAGTGAAAACTCGGTCAGCCACTGTAGATGGATAAAAATTCAAGAGACCTGAAGACCAGTTCCAAATCTTTGAAAAGCAAACCGGGAAGGATTAGGGGGAGTATAAGGTAGATTGGTCAAGATATATTAATGTGTAAACTCTTTAAAATTTAGATGAGTGCACGCACGTATTGGGTACGGAATATCATCTTCGTCTTCGAATGATTCAAAGGAGGGCGAGTTCAGCATTTGAACTCTTGTGATTCAAGATGTGGCACAATGTTTCAATCATTTCTCGTTTTATATTATATAAATGCGATTCGAAAATGTGCGACGGAAAACAAGTATCTATGTGCACTGCGTGTTTTTACCTTACATTATGAGACTATGCGATAACTTGAATCATCCAAACATGACTTGTGACTGTCGCTTAGCAACTCATCATTTCACTGATCTTTTGCTTTCCTCTCTGTTCCAGGTTTGGTTTCAGAACCGGCGGACCAAATGGCGTAAAAAGAATGCGGCCGATATGGTCACTCCAAGATCAAAATCCACACATGACGGTGCCATATCAATGGGCAATCCTGCCTTACGCTCCTCGACCGACACCTATTGCGCAGATAATATGGAAGCGGGTAGTGGAAGTTTGAGCGGTGAAGAAGCTGCATCCACAGATGATATGTCCGAGCAACGATTGATGAGATCACAAACTACGGACGACTATACAGGTCCTGTGATAAATCGCTTAACAGATCCCCGATATTCGGACAACACAGTGGAACGTCGCTCGTGCGGACCCACAGAATCAAAACAATCAACATCCGCTAGTCTATTAAGCACCCCAGCAAATTCTTCCATCGTATCGAAGGAGTTCCCATGGAATGAATNGAATGAATCGAAGGAATTAAAACAACTAGAAACTCCGTCCAAATTTTATTCCCCTCCCACCGTACAGTTTCCATCGCATCTGAATCTCACGGGTTCATCTAGTCCATGTTCCAGTACGCTGTCGAGGCATACAATGAACATGCATCCGTTGGAGAATGTGGCCGGTTTTAATCCGGCATTTTTAAACCTATTCTCAGCTGCTTTTAACTTGAACGATCCAAGACACAATGTGGACGCTGGATTCGCACGGCAGAAATCTGCTGCTGCTCCGGCTACTGGCCCCCTACCGATATCGCTCAGCATGTCCAATCCAATGTCTTTCTGTCCTGGTTCACAGATGAAAGCTCCGTCAGATAAAATGAATCAGTCACGGCGCGCTGACGAACAATCCACCAGCCACGCGGGACTATCCAATCCGGGTGAAAGTCATCTACACGCGGCAACGCCAGATCCGAGTAACCCCAACCTGACCGAGACACAAGCAATATGCGATAAGTCACCTTCCAGACTGACACAAATATTCACTCCGTCTTGTTGATGGATAACTCCAATAACTCTCTGCTAGAATTACCTCAAGCTATTGTCAATATAATTCACAGACCGTCTGACTTCATTCGTCTTGTCACTGATACAACCAATCGAATGTTTGACCTAAACGAACACATTGTTGTCATGTGTCTCTTCTTCCTTCGGAGTTCCAACCCCCAACCGAATGGCTTTTTGACTTCTATTGCATATATGTGCCCAGCGATGCACGTGTATTATGTATCTACCATGATGTTTGGATCATATCTGTAGTGAACGGAAAGAAGATCACACACACATCGGATCCCAGTTGTTTGTTACACACAGTACCTGCTTCGTAAATTGCGATAAGCATTTCATGTGCTGAGTTTCGTTCCTTATTCCTCATTGCCTCTCTTTCGATCTCACTGAGTGACATTGGTTTGCTAGTGTGTTTTGTCTAAACGTATTGCCTCCACCCAATGGTTCTCCCACTCCACCCCATCACACACATACATCTCTATGGTCCCCTCTTACTCCACCAGCCAGCCTCCATAAGCTCCATTCGTTTTTATCTCAACACGATACAGACTATCAATGGACCAGTACTATGTTATCATTGCTTATCTCACCTCTCCAAACTCATATCATTCAAATACCAATGTCAGTAACTAAATTTCGAAAATTTTTATCTATTACACTACAATAATGCGAGGGTGTGCTGGAATCGAAATAATGAAGAGGGGTAACTCAACTAGAACCAGTCTCCCTTCTGGTTTTTGGGGGTAAGAATGGCACGTATAAGGCGAGGACAATGCAAAGTATAGCAGCCGTCGGTTGTCTTATTGTTCAAATCTCCTCAAATAATGGACTGGGCCTCATGATATATGTCTATTATGTTCCCTACGCTAGTCTATACGACATCAGAATCCGACTCATCACAAATATCGAGGGAGTGGTAGTGGGGCAGTGGTTTAGCTACTGTCACCGGCGTGCTTTAGACCCCGTGGTCCGAGGTTCGAGGACCGTCAACGCCAACTGAACTTTGGTGGTAGACAGCTCTACTGTCGCCCGGTTCAATATCGCGCCCGACATAGCGGGGATTGATATGATTCGCCACTCCAAGTCCCAGGGCTTAGGTTGCCGGTTATCATCAATGAACAGCAGGTCTTCGTGACTAGGGGATTCCACCCCGTCTGCTGTCCATCACACATCAGTGTGTAATGAAAAAACAGCAAAAGTTGTGATTGAAAAAGAAAGCAGACCGATGCATGTAGTTTGAAACTCACCGAATCCGAAAGAGATTAAGTGATAAATAAATGTAAACGGCAAGGACTTATAGGGAAATAAAACATATGGGAAACTGGAGGGTGATGATGTCTGCAGTGGAAGTGAACTGAATTACTTCGCGTACAGAATGAATGTTGCGGTTCAACCACCGGATTTTAATGAAAGTCTGTTCCAAGTAAGAAAAGCGCTAACCAGCAATAATCCAAATCGACATGTTTTTCGTACTACAATGAGAGGGATAAACGGCAATCCAATTCTGAAAGGTGGAGTGTTCAACGCCATAGGGTGGTGTTGGGCGAGGTGGTACTATCGTGGACACGAGAAAACCCATCGACCAGAATCTGATGTACTTCTGTCTCACATGGGCGTTAAGGATCCGGCTGTGTGAACCACACAACAGATTCATATCACAAAAGACCGAGACGATTGGTTAACCTATCGTATGATTGGTTTAATATTTGTACAAATGAATGAGTTATTTATGAATGACTTCACCCTACGAGTAGTACGTGAAAATTTAATTGTTAACATAATCATAGGCCGATTATTTTACCCGGAGAGCCATCCGGACAAAGAATTCAGTTGATTCAGTTCAACCCGGGGAACAGAAAGTGTCAGAGAAAACTTTGCAGCTATTGTATCGTAATCAATGGCATCAAATGAACATGCTCTGATTTAGCATGAACTGAATGCTTAATGGATAAAGTAAATCCTTCAAGGCACCTAGGTAAGCAAGATTCGAGTCTAGGGAATGGTGTGAGTGCTAAATCACAATATTTCCACTCTGCTCAGAAATCAGGCATCATGGCTTCCATGTAAAAGAGGGTGAATGAGGATGCTTCAGTCAAGTGATCCGAAAGCATTTGTATTAACAAGAAAAATTAAACGGACAATGGCAGACCGGTTAATCGATGAGGATGTGACGTATTCAACACCGGAGCAGAGAGCAGAATACACCATCTTCAGTCGGCACTCATTTTTGTTTGGTTAAAAAAGAATTACATTTAGGAGAAGAGTTCTCACGGTATGCGAAAAGTAGAAGTCAAAAAGTGAAAGAAAAGCAAAATAAATATCGTATCATATTCGAAAATTACAGAGTAATACAATTTTGTGGAAGAAAACTGACTGATTCTGTCCAGAATTTTCATTATACAACAAGTAGATATGGTGAAAATGTATGTGTGCGTGTGTGTATATGTGTATGTAACAATCCGCTGACAAGCTGACCACAGCAATTTTAAGGGAATACTGAATCTGGTGCCAGTTTATTAAATCTACTACAGGAGTTGTTTTTACTCCGGGGGAACAAAGATAGTTTGGATTGAGAAGTGATGTACGAGCGATCTCATTCCCGTGCGCGTGACCTAGGAAGGGGATAGATAGGGCGATAGTAAAGACAAGTTCAACGGAACCAAAGGAAAATAGAGATCAGAAAGTGAACGTTTAACGGTACCTCGATGACTGCTACCGAATGCTACCGTCAGGTTTTTGATGAAGCGGCTGGCTTCCCATTTTCTAACCCATCAACAATAGGGGCAGGGAAATGGAGGCGATTTCCCATTCGCACATGACCGATGAATTCGGATACTATGCGAATCTGAGCTTGGTAAAGTCAGATGTTTCTGAGATTAGAGCGTTTTCCAGCACAGAAAAAGAACGATTGAATAACAAGCAAGTGGTTAAGAACGTGACAACCAGGAAAAAACTGAGTGAAAATTCACGTGGAAAGAAAATGTAAATAGTGGAAGTTGTCTTGATGTTGAAGGGGAAATAAGATCAAGACCAGAATTAAGGGATCGAGTGATGGAGGAGCCCTCACTACAAATTCAGACGTTAACTGAACGAGAAGAATAGAACAGAGTAAAACATGAAGTGGGAAAGACTCAAGTGTAGCAACAACAATATTTAGTATATGCATTTGAAATGAATAAACATTGATTCCGTTGTTTCAGCAGAGGGACTAGTGATTAGTGCAACTCATTGGTTCCACGATATGACTCAGATTTCAGAGTCCATTCTTGGTCCGTGAGAAAATCGGTGAGGCAAACAGCTGGGTGTGATGATTTGAAATCCAATCTTCCACTTTTAACTTTGTTATGATTATTATCTTTTATTTGAACAGATAAATTTACAACCAATAATTAGGAGATTATGGGTGAAAAAAGCGTGTTGGAGAAAAGGTATTGTGAGACATCGATGGTGACGTTTAGATTCTACCATTCTGTTACCCACTCTGTGTTCAACGGTGAACTATAACACTTGTATTTTCATGTAAATGTTTAGATATAGAAGTCGACTTGAAGTGTAAATAAAAAAATGAATGAACAATTAGATTTCGTTCATGAATGTATCTTTCTCGCATACAGTCGAAAATGGAAATTCCCAATGAATCCTAACTTAACTTGACAATCCTTGGGAAACCTCAGAATGATTCTTTTTACCATCGCCCACAATTTCTAAGGTCTAAAATCTCATATATTTGCAAATGATGATAATCTTCACTGAGACCCACAAATTTCACGATTTGTTCAAATGACAGGCTGAATTGGACTCATATTTTTGTCAGTGTAAGTAAGTACTTCGATGGTTGCTGTTTCTGCCTTCAGAAATTAAACACCCCGATTGCTCGGCAATTCAAGCATCAAATTCATTCCAATACATGAAACATCTTAGCAACAGACTTATTTTCTCCTAAATTTATAAACCGAAACACGAACTATAAGAATTGTACAAACATGACAGTACACCTTCAAGTGGTTGTTCGATCTAAACGAAATAAATTTCCCCTTAATGTCAGGCCTATGCTAGTGGATAGCCACTCGGACAGCCTGGGCTCAGGATGCCGATCCTCGTGAATATGGGGTTTACCCCGTCTGTTGTTCATCCCACTTGGGTTTGTGAAATAAAAATGTGTGCGACGAGTTGTACCAGGCTACACAACCGTTGCTCCGGTCGAATATTTACATGGGGAAATGTTCGCAGGACCAGCAAGCCGTCTGATACAACCATCATTGTGTGACTTTTATTGTGTGAGAAGTGTTACCTCCACCGTCCCACTCATTCACCCATCCACCCCCCAAATACGAATATGAACCAGTGCAAATTTACTATGATCGCTTGAGCTAACCAGGATCGCACAGGAATGTTTTCGAGAATCCAGTCCAAAATAATGAGACAAAATTGATAGTCCCCTGGGCAACTTTGTGAATGTAACTCAACAACAAAAGTGATTTACACAATTAGATAATTCTTCCGTGAAGAATAAGAGACCAAATACAAAATGGCGTGGGATTATTAGGTTAAAAGTGAGCAAATGATCAGTAAGCTACGAGGATGCGAAAAGCATGAAATGGGCCTTTCATGGTGAGAAAAATATGAGAATAAAAAATGATCAAAATTCCTATCCCCCGAAATCCTTGAACAGACAATTGCATTTAAAGATATTCAGAAAGTATGGCTTTTGACTTCCTTTGGGCTGTGTCCACGTTTTAAACTTAACTGAAACGGCATGGTGACGCATAAACTCACTGGGACATCACGGACACTTTCGTGAGAGGTTCGCGGGGTGTTAGTCTATTCCCTTCGCTAAAGTGATCAAATTAACAGAGCATAAAAGCCTGACCAATATCGACGTGGGTTTGAATCTCACTGAGGCACTTGATCGTCATTCACAATAGAACTGCGCTGAAAACTGCAGCAAAAATTTGCCAGCCAAAACCTTTAGCGTGCAAACCATTTTGCTAG